GCACCTCTGAGTGGACTCAAAACTCCAACCTTTTGGATAACAACCAAGAGCATGGTTTGCATCCTTCAATTCACAGGGCCTATGAGGAGCTCTGGTAGCATAATGCCTAAGGTACTTGATTGCTAATCAGAAGGCTGGTGGTTCAAACCCATCAGCCACTCCTGGGAAGGAAGATGGGGCAATCTACTTCCATAGAGATACTGCCTTGGAAACCCACGGGGGGTCACTATGAGTCGGGTCTGACTCAATGGCACATAATAACAACAACAACAACCTGTAAATGTCATTCTAGACTATATGTGCACAAAGCATTTCTGAAAGACCATACAAGTATTTTCTGTTTTCCATTCTACTAGGCTGTTACCAGCCACTCCTCGGAAGGAAGGTTGGGCAATCCTACTTCTGTAGTGATACTGCCCCGGAAACCCAAGGAGGGATCGCTATGAGTCAGGTTTGACTCGACAGCACATAACAACAACAACAACAACAACAGACTGTTACACTATTTTTTCCTACCATGAGCATGTTTTTAGAATTTAAAAAATATTTTATTTTATTATGACACAGCAGCAGTTCCTCCAAGGTTGGAAGGGACTCAAGGCTAACTGTGACCCTTCAATTAGAGTAGAAGGCTCTTTTAGCCCCATTGCTGGTATGGATGGTCTTGTCACGCCTCTTACTCTGAACTCTTGTAGGCAAATTGGGAGGAAAGAAAAGGAAGAACATAAAGAGTCTGACAAGTTCCAGATCTCTCTGCAAAGAGAAACTGGAAAAGCAGGTTGGCTTAAGGCTGGAAGCCAGGAGACCTCGGAAGCCTCTTACTTCAAGTCTCTGGGGTTCCACAGTATCAGTCAGGATGTGATTTGTTCTGGGAGACAAAAAGACACCAAGCAGCACTGGTTTGTACCTTATGGATCTCCATTTTCTCACATCAGTGCCATCTGTGCTGGCTGGACCACTCAGCTTGTCTCCACCATGGGCTAGGCTCTTTTCATCTTTTGGCTCCACCATCGTTGATGCCCAACTCCCAGCTCATGGTTCATTTCTAGCCCACATTCCACATTCCAGCCAGTAGGGAGTAAAAGCCACACAAAGGAGGCGGCATCCTTAAAGTCAACACAGCACTCCTCCTTACACGGCCACATCCAGAGCAGAGGGAGCTAGGAATAAAATCTTTTTGGGGAAGGTTGGCTAAGTGCCCAGCTACAGATTAGGATTATTACTACTAAGCAAGAAGGAAAGAATAGATGTTTGTGTGGAGGCTGGCAGTCTGCCACATTTTGCTAAGAAGTCTTCTCCTACTCATGATGTAAAACTGTGATCACCAAGTCTCATTCCATGGCCAATTCTTATTGGGAGCATATGGTTGAATTCTTCCTTAGTCAAACCAGCAGACAGAACACTATATGGGTTCACCGTATGTACAGAACTAAGTACCACATAAAAACAAAACACCAAAACCAAATTCACTGTCACTGAGTCAATTTGACCCATACCAACCCCCTTGGGTTTCCAAGGCAGTATCTTTACGGAAGTAGATTGCCCAATCTTCCTTCTGAGAAGTGGCTGGTGGGTTTGAACTGCCAGCCTTCTGGTTAGCAGTCAAATGCCTTAGGCACTGTGCCACCACAGTTCCTAAGTACCACATACTGAGTGGCTTAAAACAGAATTATAGTCTCTCACAGTTTTGGAGGCCAGAAGTCTGAAGTCAAGGTGTTGGTAGGGCTATACTCCCTCTAGAGGCTTTAGGGGGATGATTCTGTTCTTTGCCTCTTCCACTTCTTGTGGCTCCTGGCAACCTTTAGTTTTTGGTTTGCATCACTCCAATTTCTACTTCCATCTACACATGGCCTTCTTCCATGTGTGTCTCTGTATCCTCTCTTACGACAGCAATATTGGATTTAAGCCCCTAATTACATCTGCTAAGACCCTATTTTCAAAGAAGGTCACTATTAGAGTGTTCATTCCCAGTTCTAGATAGATGTGAATTTTGAGGGAGCTTTGGTGGCATAGTGCCTAAAGCATTTGACTGCTAACCAGAAGGATGGAGGTTCAAACCCACCAGCCACTTCCCGGAAGGAAGGTTGGACATTCTACTTCCGCAGTGATACTACCTCAGAAACCCAAGAAGGATCTGACTCAATGGCAGTGGTTGCATTGGTTTTGCATATTTAAGCCACTACAGACACCCGCTGACTATCCCATTTCAGTCCCTGCAGGACACAGGTCCTCAGCAGGGGGCATTCACAGATTCTTTGGAGAAGAAAAAGCTCAATGTGGACTTCAGAGACCCTATTTTGCAGACTGCTTCACTCAGAGACATTCATTTTATTCTTCTCTACGTTAATCTGTCTGATAAATATTGACTGGGCTCTGGAATGAATCAGCACATGAGGGGGAGCCCAGTCCCTGCCCTCATGGAGTTTAGAGTCTTTCTGGAAAAATAGTTTAAATAAATAAATCTCTCTGCAAGAAACGTTTAACCTGAATCTAAGCAAGCTTTAGACTAACTTTCAGATTACAGGAAATACAGGATAAAAAATGACATCATGAGGGAACATTCTGATGAGTCTAGAATATGGGACAATCTGTAAAATGACTCTCCTGAATGCCTAAAAAATTAATACAATGAGGAAAAAAGGGATGGGGGGGCTGTCCTAGGTTAAAAGAGACAAAAGAGATACAACAACCAAATGTAAAGTCTGAATCCTGATTGGATACTGAATTGATAAAAGGTTATAAACATTTTAGGATAACTGGGAAACCTGAATATAATGGATGATGCTATGAAATTGTTAAATTTTCTAAGATGCATGCCTCAATGAAGTGTTTTTTATGTCTGCAATTTATTTTTATATGCTTGGGGAAAAATGTATATGTATACAAAATACATACATAACAGACAGATGGGTCAGATAGATGGGTTGAGAGGGGGTAATAAAGCACTGTGGCAAATGTTACCAATTGGTAAAACTGGACTATTAGGATGTCTACTGTCCTTTCTTAAAAAAAAAAAAAAAAACCTTTACAGAGGTTTGAACAATTCTTTAAATAAAAAGCACAAGTCACCTCAGATAGGAGCTATAAGCAGTGCACAGGCCTGAACAGAAAGCAGAGGGCTTCTCTGTGAAAGTGATCTGCAAGCACATAAGCAGAAGCCTGATTTAGATACTAAGGACAGACACAGTCACCTCCAGATGTACCAGCTCGCCTGTGGCCTATGTGGCTGTGTGAAGGCATTTACGCTTTATTCTAATGACAGTAGGAAACCATCTGTTCCCCTTTTCTTTAGATAACTGTCCCTTCTTTGGAAAGTACTCCTGACAGCCCTATTCCTGTGGGTAATCTGCTCCAGCTGAGCCAGTGAGAGCCCATGCCTAGCAGTTTGACTTGGAAGCACAGTGAGTGGGCCAGCACCTTTCCTGGATTGAGCCCGTGAGAAGTGAGACTCAGACATTCCATGTCCCCAATAACAGAGGAAATATATACACTCATCAGAACTCATTTAAGCTTAGTATCTGTGCATCTCTATCAGTTGATATCTGACTGCCCTCCTCAGAAGCTATGGGGGATGGCCTCCTGCATGGCTCCTGCTTCTACAACAGGTCTCCCAGTAAGATATGACTCTAGCACCCGTTGCTCAATTGCTCCCAGTTGGACAGGCCTAGTTAAAGCCTCAAGCTCAGGAAGATAGGGAGGTTTTGAGCAGAGAGGGTTGGGAGAGGGGAGGCACAGGAGTTCCAGAGGCTGGTAGGAGGGACCAGGCAGGCAGGTGGTTGCCCATGGGCCTCAAGGAGCAGGGCCCTTCCCAGTGGTGATATGGTACAAGTGCTGGGGCAAGCCTAGTTCCCTGGCCCTGAATATATGTCCCAAAGCAAGTTCCCAGCTGAAACCAGCTTGGAAAATTCCAGGGAAAAGGAAACTTACCACGGGGGTGGACAGAGCTGGACCTTGGCCAGCAAGTCTAAAAGAGGTATATATGGCCCCAAAAGCCATCTTGTTGGTGTAGTCAGTTTGGTGATACACCTTACCATGGGGCCAAAGGAACGACTTTTAGGGAAGGACCTTGGCCTGAGCACAAAGGACGGGACGTGGCATAGCCTACACAAGGGAGTCCTTTAATAGAGGTTGATACAGACAGGAGACGATAGGCACTCCGCCCACACGCAAGCTCGTAGGCCCCAAGCCAACAGGATGCAATGGCTTTCCGCTCCCCACCCCTGGGTTCTAGCCCACAGGGTGGACTCAGGAAAAGGTGGTTTTATAAAACAAAGCTGTACTAATTCTTCACTTCCATGGAAAAGGGGGTTTAAGAAGGGAGTAAAGACCCTACCCTCCCGCCAAGGGCTGAGACTTGGGTCCTTCCCCCAGACTTCTGTCCAGAGAGGAGCAGATAGAACCCAGAAGTCCAGGGTGCACAAAGCGGGGGCTTGCTTCCTTTACGTAGCTTTTCCTTTTTCTTTTTCCAGCTTTTAGTGTTTCTACATTAGGTACATTGTTGTGCTTTATAGTTAATCCCTTTTTTCCCTCCTTGAGCCTCTTGTCTGAAGCTTAATGTTGGGAAGGGAGACTGGGACACCACAGATGGGATGGTTGTGGGAAGCTCAGCCCTCTAAAGGCCAGCGTGCACAGTTGTAGGAGATGAGGTTCCCAGTTCTAGGGGCTTCCAAGGAGCCACTGGAGCCCATAGGCCTGGTGGACAGTACGAGCTGCTTCTTGCCAGCTCTGCCACGGTCATGGAGGATACACAACAGAAGGGTCAGTGCTAGAATAAAATCCAGGGTGGAAAGTAGCAGGCATAGATGGGAGGAGGAGGCAGGACCAAGTAGGCACTGCAACAAAACTGTTTTTCATAGCAGGGAGCTGGATGGAGGGGTGAGGAGAGCCCAGCTGTCCCACTGGCAGCCCCTGACTGTCCACAGGACCACTTCCCGTTCAAGGGCTAGGGTCAGGAAGGTACAAGCGTGATGGAATGGAGAGTGGCTGGGAGGCGGCTTAATCCAGCTGGGCGGGGTTAACACAGGTCAGTTGTTCTCAAAGAGGGACAGCAGGTCATCGTTGCTGTTCGTGGGCAGGCCGGGAGGGCCCAGGTATGACAGTAGCTCATCGGGGTTGGTCAGTTCTGGGAGCAGCTGAGAACAAAGCAGACCACATGACCAGCTTTGCTTGTAGACTCTGCATGGCCACTTCCACCACCCTTGCCACCCAGTTCCTCTGAACTAGCTGAAAAACCTACACAGCAAGGAGGATGCTAGTAGCTAAGCACCTGCCTGCCTGGACACAGGCCTGTGCCCAAGGCCCTCCCTGCAGAGGGAGGACAAGTAGCCACGAGGAACCTTCTGGAAGATGATGACTTTGGGATCAGGGAAGCAACTGAAGATAGAAACACCAGGAAATATGTACCTAAGGAGAACCCACTGCTCTCATGTGCACAGAAAGCACACAGGACTTTGAAAACTCCAGAAAGCTTACTCACAGCAGCTGCGAGTATGGAACCCCCAAGGACCTTTCACTGTCTGCTCTGAGTTACTCTAATTTTTTTGTTGAATTTCAATGAACTTCTTTTATCATTGTCAAGGGACAGATCTATGACAGTCTATGCATCATTTTATATATAGAGTTTGGATTCACATACCACTTGTATGTTATGAGAATTATGAAATCAGTTTTAAGAAAACATGTCCTCTGCTCAGAATCTCTGAAAAACTGCAGACACTGGTCACAGACCCACTGTGTGGTTGATAATGCACCTAGTTCCTGAAGTGAGATGCCTGGACATAAATCACTTAGGAACCACATATTGGTTCCACACAGCATCCCACCCCAAGTGAAGATACATACTAGTATCAAGGAGCAGGAGTTACCCAAAGCTATCTAACAGCTTTCTCTTTGTACACCTGCTGTCTCTGTCCTCCTTTCTAGCCATATCAAGTAGCCTCTAGTGCTTGAAAATGGAAGAGTCCCCTTCTGGGGCTGTCCTGGTTCTCATAGCCACAGCTCTCCAGTGCCTATGTGCTCCCCAGTGTATAGCAAGGAGAAGTGTGGGGCCTAATACTCACATCCAGAGCTGGTTCCGGGGCCTCTCCGGCCGCAGACATGCTGGTGGGTCCCATCGCATTGGTGGGGTGGTTGAAGGCCAGCTCACTGCCAGGCCCTGAGCTTGCTTGGCTCAGGGGTGGCCGGGGTGGTGGGGGAGGGTTCTGATGGTGCAGCTGTGGCCCTAGGGGGGCCCCAAGGTTGGGGTTGTGTAGCCCCTGTGGCCCAGGGTTGTGGACTGTGTCCAGGTGGCCCACTGGTACCATCTGAGAAAGGAGAGGGGTGCTTGGTAAAACAGCCCAGGGCTCCCTCAGGAATGGGGCTCCTCATACCTCCTCCCCCCTCAGCTGGGCCTGGAGCACTGACCTGGCCTGGGAGGCAAGAGGCAGGCTTCTCTGGAGTCAGGAGGCTGCTGGGAATGTCAGACTGATAGGAGATGGGCGGTGGCCCTGGAGTGAACTCGGGAAGGGTTGGGGTGCTGCCGGGTGTGGTAGGTGGGAAGGATTCAGGGAAGTTCCCAGGTCCCAAGAAGCTGGAACCTGTGAGGAGAGAGTCAGGGTCCCAACATGAGGACCCAACAGAGTGGCAGGTGTCCTCCCGCCTTGCCAGGGAAGAACTCAGGCTGGCAGAGCAGAAAACAGAATGCAATCAGGATTGGAGGCAGCTGCTACATGGTGGACTTCTGGCTGCCTGATGACCACCACCACCACTTGGAACAAGAGGAACTGCCCTTACAATGGTACTAGGAGTGGGGAGCCATGAGGGGCACCCCAGCCATCTTCACATGCACCCCCATGCAGGGGTCACAGTGGTTCAGACTTCTGGATATTCTAGCAATGGCCACTTGCTCCCAACTGGAGAAAAAGACAGAAGGAGCAGAGCTAGTGTTTGAAGCCTGGCTGCCTGTGTCCAGTTTTAGCACCTAGCACCTCACTGGACATGAACAGGGAAACCACAACTGGTGGACTGTGGCTGAATGCATGTAGGAACTAGGTGTTGGCCTGCATGGGGTCCCCTAACACTCATGATAACTATGCTCTCTTATATGCAGATTCCAGCTAGAGAGGTTGAGCAAGGCACCTCAGCTGCCTGTGCTCTACTCACCCTGGCTGGGATAGTCGCCAGGTGTAGGGCCTTGCAGGAGCTGCAAGGAAGCACAGGGGGTGGCACTGGGGCCCAGGGCAGCGATCATCTCCATGACGCTGGGCATGAGCACATGAGCAGGGCTCACAGTTCGGCAGCGCTTCAGGACTGGCCCATCAGGCTCCTCCTTCAGGTGCAGGTCGGGCTTCACGGGCACTGGTTTCCAGCTACACGTGGGATCGATGGTAATCTCCTCGTAGTCAGAGCTGGGCAGGGCAGCAGCCGTCACATCACCAGGGGCTCTGCCTACATGCTACCACACCCATAGGCTCAAGGCAGACCCTCCCACCCAAACACCTATCATAACCAAGTTACTCTGTGCCCAGCAGGACATGCATGCAGCTTGCCACCTGAATCTAGCCCCTTTCACAGGAAAGAGGCTGAAAAGGCTGCGTTCAGCCTGAGAGTCTGCAAACACACATACAGCTGGGTCACAGAAGAGAATTACTTCTGGATGTAGATTAGGATCCCCAGCATGTACTGGTCCACTTCCAGGCCCTCCAGCAATGCAGTCTTACTGTGAAACAAACAAGAGAGACAGGTTCAGGGCTCCTGCCCAGCCTCTGATTTGTAGGGGCCACTATTTCTTCATCTGCCTTATGGCGTAAGGGCCTGGCTCAAAGCTTCACTGTCCTGGGCTGGGCAGTGAGCACAGTACCTGACTTGCATAGTTTTTGAGGCTGCTGGGAGAAAATGTCCACAGCAGCCTCTACAGAATGGTTAGCCCTGCCCACCCCCAGGTCCCAAACAACTTGGTGCCATCCCTGAAACACCACTCACTTGCAGACAGGACACCTCCAAGTCCCACGCTCACAGTTGAGCTGCAGATATGACTCCAGATCAAAACACTGCAAAGAAGCAGAGTGAGGGCACTGTGGGAGGCCTGCTTTCATGCATCAGAAAAGCAAAGCTAAGTCTGTGGATGAGGGATGGTGATGGTGAAGGTTAGGGCTACGAGGATGGGGTGGCCTGGTCACAGACTCTGACCCAGCAATACCACTCTTAGTTACATATTACTTATTTTTTGGCACATCTTCCATTTCAGCATGAGTTCAATAAAGACTGGAAATAAGCAAATAGCCATAACCAGTGATGGTGAAATCAATAGTGGGCATCTATACCATAAGTACCACTGGCCAAGAAAAGGTGCTGGCAGCTGTGCTGGTGTGGAGTCACTTATGTGACTAAAACGGGGGAGAGGTTGTTAAGTAACTGAAATATACACAGGATAGATAGCTCCTTAAACTGTTACAGTGATGCACAGGGGCCTGGGGTGGGAAAATGACTTCACTGGGTATGCTTTATACCTTTCAAAATCTGAAGCACTGGATATAACAGCTAGTGAAAAAGGTAGATTTAAAATAAGAGGTCTAGTCTGAGAAGAAAGGACTAGGGGAGCCTGGCCCACCTACCCCAACATGGCTTCAGGGCTAGCTAATCTTGTCAACTGTTAGCCCCAGCTCTTCCAGGCAAGGTATATTACAGTAAAACAGAAGGTAAGCAGCTCAGAATCCACTCCTGCCCCCCAAAGGACAAGGTTAACCAATTAATGAAAAACACTTTAGCAAAGCTCAAAGTGCCACCTACCTGTATATGTCGACAGTCATGGCCGCGGGCAGGCAACTGGATCCTGCGGAAGGTGATGGGGCACTTCAAGGACACCTTGATAGCTGTCTGCTCCACCCCATCTTCTCCATTGGGCCCAGGGGTGCCTGGGATGGTGCCACTACTAAAGTTGCGCTTTACTGGGTAGAAAAGGAAGGACATCAAGGAAAACTTAAGAGACAGAGCAGCCAAGTGGGCACACTATGCCCTCGGCCTGCACGCATGCATTGAGTGTAGTTAACTAAAGTCCATCAGGGTGAGCCAGGTACTCACTCTTGGTAACACAGTGCTCAGCTGGCAGGAGGCGCTTCTTAATAAGGCCCTGCAGCACAGAACGAACTGACGGGCGGTGCACCAGCTGCAGCACAAAGAGGTGGGACTGCAGGGAGGAGGGAAATGGAGACACCTGTCAGGTACAGGGAGGGTCCTGGCTCTCCCCAAGTCCAGGCTACCCTTGCAGACTGACCTGCCCCAGGCAGATGGGCCAGTTCATCCACTATGTAAATATACATCACATCTCCTTTAAGACTTAACTCCTAAGCTGGAGGCTAGAAAGATTTCTAAAATGTCCTGCAATAGCCTTTCCCACTGTCACCTACATCTGAGCTAAATTCCAAAGGTCCCACTCAATGCCACAGCTGGAGAAGACTCAACAAGGCTTCCTTAAAACTCAAGTTAACAGAGGCTCCTCTTAGCAGTCTCCTCTCTGATTCTGAGGTTGGCTTGTCATCTTGAAGCTTGCTAAATCTGAGCAAATAAGGATTCAGGACCACTGGATACTCAGGACCTCCTACTGTGCTTACTTTAGGGTACAAGGCCCAGTCTAGTTTCTCACATAACTTCAACTGTAGATCTAGTTACCTTAATCTAACTGAAAAACAGCTATGGTACTGCACCTCACACCCACTGACTTGTGGGATCTGGGCCCCCTCACTCACGCAGCAACAGGCTGTGACGGTGATCTGGATGGTGTTACGGCCTGGCTGGCACACGTGCTTCAGGTAGAGGGGCTTATGGGAGGTCTTGTTGTCCCCACGCTCAATGGTGAGTGGTGTGGCATTGACGCTGACCTGCACAGATGCTGGCCAGTTGGTGTTCATCTGCCGGTCCTCGTGGTGGTAGCACTTGAACTGCAGTTCGAGGTCAGGCCTGAATCAGGGAGAACGGTGGTATCAGGTAACTGGAGGAGATGGGGAGGAGAAAGAGATGGAGGAAGGAAGGGACTGGTGAACCAGAGATGAGCAGGCACTGGTAAGAGGTAGTGGGCTAGGGACACTCTGTACTATAGGGTACAGGCTAAGGGAAAGCACTTTGGCTAGTGAACACCACCTCACCTCAGCATCAGGGTTTTGTAGACAGAGTCACGGAGCTGGAAGACGTGGTTGCTCACAGCCAGGTTGTGCTGCAAGCGGAAAGGCTCTAGGACTACCCCATCACGTACTGGAAAAGTCAGCCGAAGCTCATCACAAGGGCCATTCCCTGAGAACAGAGGACCCAGGCTGGCTGTGAGTGGAGGAGCCATGGTAGCCCAGTGCCAGAGCAGTGTGTGCAGGGGCCTGGCTTAGGGCACTGCACTCCCAGCACCAATGGCATGCTTCACAGCCACTTAGGACAGACTCAGAGGCGCAGACTGCTCTTCAGTGTAGGGAACACACAGAGGAGCATTCAAGATCTGCTCTCCCAGGAGCTTCTTGCTGGGAATGAGCTATGCTATGGGCTCAGGCCTGGTCCAACAGTCATTTCCAACTGTAACAGAGCCTCTGCAGCTCATGTTACATGAGAGCTCATCCTGCTCTCAGTGGCCTAGCTTGCATGTCCCTAAAACTATGATGAAGAATAGTTCCCCAACCCAGAAAAAAGGCATTTCTGGTGCCTTCCAAGAGACTGGGAGCCCAAGGAGAGGTGAGGGCACTACTTGCTCACCACCTGACCACTGAATTTTGGGTTTCAGGATCCCAACTTCTGCTGTCAAGGTCATCTAATGCAGGGTTCTTAACCAGGATGGGCTTCAGGTGACTCACAACCCCCTTAGAATATACAACATTCTATGTACATGGGTATTTTTCTAGAGTGAAGATCCACAGCCTTAGACAGATTTACAAAGAGGTCCACGAATAAAACAATTTATGCAGGTTAAAGTCTGCTAAGGAGCCCTTGTGGCACAATAGTTAGCTGCTCAGCTGCTAAACACAGGTTGGTGGTTCAAATTAACCTAGTGGCTCCACAGAAAACCTGGTGATCTGCTGCCATAAAGATGACAGTCTAGAAAACCCTATGGGGCAGTGCTACTCTGTTACATGGGGTCATTTTGAATTGAACTCAACAGCATCTAACAACAAGGGCCATTACTCAAATTTCATCTTTAGAGAATTCCTGACTTCTCTCAGGGTGCTTATGGCCCAGAAACCTAGCAACTATCCCACCCCCAGAAATCTCAAACACTTTCTCCTTGGTTATGGAATCCCCAGCCCACCCGCCCTATCACCACTGCTCTGAAGATGGACTCACCGGAAGGGGAAGAGTGCAAGGAGCTCACATTGGGTTTGAGGTCAGGTAGGAAGGGGGACTTGACATCCTGGCTTGGAGACACATAGGGGACGCTGCTGCTGGGGGTCATAGGTGGTGTGGGGTTCCCTGGCAGTGGGGAGTTGGGATAGCCAGGTATGGAGCGGGCAGGCTGCAAGGGGGAGCAAAAGCAGTCAGTACAGAATGGTGGGCATTCATGTGTGGGACATCCTGGGAGTGATCAGCACAAGGGTACCTGGCTGGTACCACCCACAATGCCTCTATTGGCTTGAGGGCTGGTAGAACTGCAGTGGCTGGTCCCTCTCCCTATGCCCACCCTCAAGCCACCCGCCCATACCCCACTCAGGCTTGGCTGACTGTAGCTGAAGCTCCCTCCATTGAAGCTGGTGTTCTGCCCGTTGAACTGGTCTGTGGACTACAGAAGAGAAAACTGCATGGGGCCTGCAGTTGGAGCACATCACACCTCCCATTTGGCTGGAGCCACTCAGGACTCAAACCAAGGAGTGATCCACCTTCACAGGTGGGCCCTGATCTTTTTCATTAGATTTTCTTTATATTTTCAAAATAAGCAACACATACTAACTTCATGATTTAAAAAAATACTACAGAACAGAAGGGATTCCACATGGAAAAGGGTTTCTGGGGTAGGAAGAAGTGATAGAAGGGTTAAAAAGACTCAAGTTGCCCCATGGACACTTCTCTTGTCTGAGGTTCCTAGCATGTGGAATAGTGTAGGGAGGCCCCCAAGCACTCCAATAGGGGCAATACAGTATTTCTGGTGTGATATAGACACAGCAGCTGACCCAGGGCCCCCACAAGTCCTCTTGGGGGGCTTTATCTCTTCAGCAACAAGATGAGAAAATACAACTCTCTCCATCAAGGACCTATCCACAAGTGGTTTGGATGGCTGCCTATTACTCCCACACCAAATTCCCACCAAGAGGCACATAGCCTCAGAGGATCATTCAGCTCAAATCCGAGCCCCTCCCATGCCCTCTGTGAGTACTACTAGTGAAACTCATGTCTATTCCATCTCCTGTCCCTAAATGTGCACATGGGTCTCCACCCCACTCAGCAGATCAAGGCAGATATCTCAGGGTCACTTTTGCCTCCTATATGCCTGGCTAGGGGCTCCTACCTTATAGTGCAGTGCTGTGGGGCCAGGGGCAGACAGGTACTGCCCCATGCCCTGCTGCAAGGGCAGCCTGTGCCCAGGGTAAGAGGGAGAGGGTGCAGGGGGCTGCCCCGAACTGGTAGCAAACTGGGAAGTGCTGGGTGCATACTGGCCTCCTTGCAGGTACTGCTGCCCTGGATACACCTGAAAAATGAGGCAGATAGATAGCAGGAAAAGAAAGATGGTAGTTGTCAGGAGGAAGCTGGTCCTCAGAGCACTTCATGTACTGGAGCAGGGCCCCCAGCTCTGGAAGCTCAAAAGACCAGAAGCAGGGACTCTTACCACTTAGGGGGTCTGTTTCTCTGTCATACACAAGAAGCCCAATCTTGCCAGAGTGGGACTGAGGTTGCCCTGGCTGCCCAATCATACTCACCTCACTGGAGTAGACTCTTTTGACTCCCTGTCGGGGCAGTGGCTGGGCCTGGGAGGGCCCAGGGTGCGTGTGCTGGGGCAGGCGCTGCCCTCCATACAGGGGTGTCATCCCTCCTGCCCGGGTCGGGTTCATGCCCATGGGGGAGAGGCTGGAAGAACCCATGACTCCCCCCATGCTGGGAGGGCTCATGCCGGGGGGCACATTGGGCCCCCGGGGACCTCCATGCTGCAGAAACTGGCTGTTAAAAGACTGTCCAGCCCCCATCTAGGAAGAGAAAAGAGAAGATTCATCCCAGGCCTCTGGGCTTCCACCTTCTGCCATGATGGTGCCACCCTCTCACCAGGCTCTCCTATGACAAAATACCTAGCTCCCCCTCCCAGCCTCATGTCCTTCCCACCTACCACCCTGTCCACTAGCTCCATCTTCATCAGCCCTAGGACATTTTGTTCATCTGAGTTCCTGAAGACTTCAGGGAAGGAGGGATTCTAAACCTGGGCCCTCTGCCTTGCCGAGGCTCCCTCTCCCAAGGCAGGCTCCCTCTCCCAGTGGCTTGCTGGGGGCGCCTCACCGCTCCGTACTGGCTCAGTTCCTGAGTCTGCTTCTCCTGGAGAGCAGCCACAGTGGCTGTGGCTGTGGCAGTGGCAGTGGCTGCAGCAGCAGCCACAGCAGCAGCAGCAGCAGCCTGAGTGAAGTCAGTAGAGGGCCGCGTCGCATGGGAAGGGAGACCCATGCCCCCAGGGCCACTTGGGCCACCCGTATACCTGCAGGAGACATAGGATTGCAAACTACCCTGCACATCACTCAAAAGCCAGTATGGGCATGACAATGATAGGGATCCCCAGTCTTTTCCAAAACACCTTCATTGTCACTGTAACAACAGGAAAGGCAGATTCAACAGCCAGCACAACACAGTTCTGAAGTGCCCACCAAGTTCAAGCACTGCACCCAGAAGGCTCCTTGGATACCTGCCGAAGGGAGGACCCTGCGTACCCAGTGGTGAAGCTGGGCCCCCCGGGGTAGCCCCCGCGGCCATACACCCCCTGCTGCATGTAGCTCTTGTTGGCACTGCCCTCAGCAAATGCTTGCTGCCCAAGGAACTGCTGTGAGTTCAGGGCAGAGCTACTGCCTGCCAAGCTGGGCATCATGGAACTGCTCGAAGGGTTCCCTCCAGGACCCATGGTGCTCCCCAAGACCTGCAACAAAGTAAGACACACTCACACTGTAGAAAACCCATTAATAGGAACTGTCCATATAGCTCACTTCAAGTTATGGCTCCACAATACTGGAAATGAAAGATGGAGGAAGGGCAAAAGTGTAGGAGAGGGTCAGGTCTGCTATGCCAGTTGAACAATACAGGTAAAAAGGCCCAGGGCAATGGATGAAGGAGAACTATTGTCCCTTGACCTCAGAGCCTTGGGAAGTTCTATCTTCACTCTCAGCCCTTCCCCCAGCCCATCCTTATGAGACAGGCTATGCTTGGAGGCAGGCGCCTAGGTATACAATCTTACCTGACTCTGGGATGTATTGCTAACTCCCCACACGGTTGTTACCACGGAGAGCGATCCTGCAGGCTGATTGGCACTTTGTTGCCAAGGCACGGACTCATATGTGAATGAACCATCACTGCAGAAGAAGATGTGGGTGAGGCCCCACACCCAGACAATGATGATAGCAACAGGGCAGTATACATGGTCACATGGTCCCCCAGGCAGAAGAGCACCTCTCCACTCAGACCCAACCCCCATGTACAGCTGGGAGCAGCTACTTACCCGTGCGGTGTCGGGGGGAGGACGGGTTTCATGGGGTTCATAGGGTTCATGGGCCACGGAGCAGCCCCAATGCTGGGGCTGTGGCAGAATGTAGCTGCCCTTGATGGTACTTATCTGGCACTTCGCTGCACTGGCTGCTGGGAGAGAAGGAAAGGGACTGTTAGCTGAGATGCAACTGTGATCACGGATGCCGCAGACATCTGACAGGCTGCCTCTTCACAGTCAGCCACCATCATCTTCCAGCACCTTTCAGAGGGTAGAGGGGCTGACAGCTGTCACGCATAGTGCTATCCTATGCCAGAGGCCGTTGCTCTCTAATATGGGACAAGGTAGGGCAAACTGGGACCACAGGGCCATGCTCAGGGTGTTATGGCTGTCCAGGAAACTGATGTCCTGCTGGCCTCACTGTTATGAGGCAAATAGAGCCCAGGAGTGGCTCTCCCACCTTGAGTTCCAGGATCAGCCCTAAAAACAAGCATTAAGATTCCTAATACTTTCCACACTTTCCCTCCCACACAAAGGCCTTCCTACAAGCTTACTAGATATGAATATAAAACCAAAAAATAAAAAAAAGTTGGTGGGAAAATCCTTAAATCTGGGAAATATGAGGGGGCAGAATTGGGAGAACCTCCCATCAGAAGGCCCAGTGGGTGAAGGCCAAGGTGAAGTAGGAGAAATGTCACCAGGTAGTTGGGAGGGGGTCCAACCCAGGTGGGGCAGAGCCCAAGGTGGCTCAGGAGGCTGGGGTGGCTAGGTCAGAGGGTGGGTGCAAAGCATGGGGCCAGCAGCCCCAACCCTCTCCCTCCTTATGCTGCCCTCCCCTCCACAGGGGCAGTCAGAGTTGTGGCCCCTCCCTTGGGGCTAAATGAAGAGAGATGGCCTGAGATCATATCCCAGCACACTGGTCACTAGGACAAGCCAGAGTCTGGTGATGGTGGTCCCTCTCAGAGGTGAGCAGAGGGGTCCCACACAGAGGCTAGGAGCAGAGAGTCAGCAGGCACCCACAGGATATGTCGAGACACATGGGGCCCAAGAGTGGCATGGTACATGTATATAAAACTGACTACCTGGGCAGACAGGGCCAAGGAACAGCAGGGATGTGCAAACCCTGGCAGCAAATGAGGATCCTATGTGGGCCGCCTTACCTCTCCCAGAACCACAGTGTATTGCTGTAAGCAGGAGCCTTCTCACCATGTGTTCACTCACCCATTTCAGTGATGAGAAAATTGAGGGACAGGAAGCAAGAGGCTCACCCCAAGTCGCCTGCCCAGGCAAAGGCTGGACCCCATCTGCAGACTTCTGCATGCCAACACTTCCCTGCTTGCTTCTGCCTGCTCTGTGTAGGCAGTACATTGTCACCAGCTGGTGCTGCTCTAATTGGCACTGCCCATGCTTTAATTACCATGCCTGGACATGAGGAATGCCCCCTCACCTCTTCCTGATCTAACCAGAGCCAAGAATCCTGTTGCTGTCTTTTTGCCTTTCTCCACATGCCGACATAGGAACTATAGGCTATAGGGCTTCATCCTGCTACCTGGGTGGCCATGGATGGGAGAGAAGGAGACCAATTAGGCAAGAGGAAGCTGGGCAAAGCCTCAGGAACCCAGGAGCCAATAGCTGGCAAGCATCACACAGGAAGAGGGCATGCCCATCTCTTACTAGTCCCTGCTCTGGGAGGTCCAGTGAGCCAGAGTGGTCCCCAAGCATCCCCAGATGGCCAAATCCACTCAGTTCCCTTCACCCTGGCCTTGCCCAGCTAGGCCTCCTAGAGTCAAAGGAGTGAGGGAAAGAGGGAACAAGGAGCACAGAAGCTGGAAAGGGTACCAAAAGCAGGGATGGCAAGGTGTACAACGCACACTCAGAAGGGCAGGAGTAGGGCTCTCCTTCCTGACATCTCCTCCCAGGGGAGCCAGGCTGGTCACCCTTAGAAGGGGCCAGTCTAGACTCTTGGTTCCTCTCCTGCCGCCCCTGGACTATGTTCCTTCTGGGAAGCAGACAAAGCAGGGATCCATGACTCCAGAGGGCTCAGGGGCTTGCCTGCACAGAAGCCAGCCCATCTGGCCTGGGTGCCAGGATCACCAGCAGTCAAGGGAAGACTCCAGGATGGTGATACTTGAGGTATAGGAAGAACCTGACAATGGACAGAAATTCCTCTCAGACTTGCTGGATTAGGCCTATAGCAACAACCCAGGGTTTCAAGACATAATAACATAGTTACAAAAATCAAGACAGTGTGATACTGGCAGAGGAATAGACACACAGATCAATGGAACAGAACAGAGAACCCAGACATATATCCACAGAAACATGTCCATCCAATTTTTAACGAAGGTGCAAAAGCAAGTCAATGGGGGACAACAAAACATGGTGCTGGAGCAATTGAACAACCATAGACAAAAAAAGTATTTTATACCCTATTACAAAAATATACACAAAATAGATCAGAGAAAAAAAAAGATTGTAAATTCAAATGTGAAATGCAAAACTATAAAACTTCTAGAAAAATACATATGTGAGAAACTTTAGGAAAAAGGGCTAGTCAGAGTTCCTATATATGACACCAAAAGCCTGATCCATAAAATAAAATAATAAATTAGACTTATTAACATTACAAACTTTTGTTCTGCAAAAGGCTGTAGACTGGGAGAAAATATCTGCAAACCACATATCTGACGAATGACTAGTATCTAGAATATTTAAAGAATTCTCAAAACTCACTGTAAAAAAAAAAGTGATCCAATTACAAAATAGGCAAAAACATGAACAGACATGTCACTGAAGATGGCAAATGAGCAGGGAACTGCAAATTAAAACCACAGTGACACAACTCTCAGAATGGCTAAAATTAGTTATTAGATGATGGAAAGGATGCAGAAGAACTGCATCTCACACACATGGCTGGTGGGAATGTAAAATGGTAATCATGGTGGATAACAGAGAGTTTAGGAATTTCTCTCAAAGCTAACCATACAACTACCATTCAACTCAGCATAATGCACTCCTGGACATTTATTCCAGAGAAATGAAAACTATGTACAAAAGCCTGCACAAAAACGTTTACAGTAGCTCCATTCATAATAACCAAGAAACTTAAATATTCTAGAAGTTTAACAGGTGAAAGGTTAAACAACTGTCGTATATCCATACCACCAATAAAAAGGGACTTTTTTTTTTTAATATTATTTTGATTTGGGTGAAAGTTTACAAGGCAAATTCATCTTCCATACAGCAGTTCACATACACTTTGTTTCATGACAGTGACTGTAATCTCCTACAATGTAATATTTCTCCTCCCACTTCCTCCCCATAGCCACCTCTTCCCTGTGTCCTTCCCTCCCATGCATTCCCACTCCCTGAACCATCTCCCTGTGCATACATAGGCCTTCTACTTTCCCATGATTGATCTCTCCAAGAAGTGTATGTACCTAATGCAAATGTTCAGCGCATATGCCTATCTTATGTTTGGCTGGAAACCACAGGAGTGGGTTCAATTCCAGACCTAAAGGGCAGCTAGGGACCATAGTCTTAGTGGTTCCATCATGCTCTACCAGACCAGCAAACCTGTTCCTCCCCCCCACCTTTTTTTTTTTTTTTTTTTTAATGATTTTGAGTTTTGTTCTACACTGTTCTCCCACTCTGTCCAGGATCTCCTACATAGATCCCCCTCCAAGTGGTTGACAGTAGTAGCCGGGCACCATCTAGTTCTTCTGGTCTCAGTCGCAAAGGCTGAGGATTGCATGATGTACCAGTTGCTTGGATTAAATGTTTCCATGAATGTTTTGTTTTCTTTATTATTCTTTGCTTTGGATGAGGAGAGACCCATTGTTGGATCTAGATGGCCGCTTGCAAGCTCTTAAGATCCCAGTCACGACTTGCCAAAGCAGGATGTAGAGCAATGTTTTTGTGTAGCATATTATGCCAATTGAACTTGATGTCCCCTGTAGTCATGGAAAAGGGACAACTAATTTTTAGGCCCAACTTGAATGAATCTCAAGAGAATTATGCTATGGGTTAAAAAAAAAACAAAACCAATTCCAAAGTTTACATACAAGGTTCTGGTAAGATGGCGGAATAGGTAGACAAACTACACAGAACCTCTTCAACAAGAAAAGAGGAACCAATTAACAGATACAGAAGATAATCCTGAAGCTCTAACTTTGAAAAGAAGGATACAGAAGTGTACAAACTCCAACTAGTAAAAGAACCTTGATGAAAACAGTGAAGGAGGAAACATATGGAGCTGCAGACCATCAGCGATCCTGATGGCACAGACAACTTGGATATTGCCAAGTGGTGTTAGGACCTAAGAATTAACCTAAACATTGGCCTTGCCAGCCAGGGCTGCAAACAGAACTGCACTGGTGGCTGGTGAATAAAAGGGGAAACAGCAAAGAAGGAGACAACGCCCTGAGTTGTGGACTTTCAGCTGTCCAGAGGGTGCAGCCATTTTGAATGTTTACAAGTGGTTCAATCATTTTAGATATTTAAAGCAACAGTGTTCTCTCACATTCCAGGGATCTAAGAATGGACTCCATTTGCCAGGGACAGTAAGGACATACCAGACACTGAGGACTGGAAAGATGTAATATTCTCCTTGTTGCTCTTATACCCCACACCCTCCTTGGTGAACAGAGATGTGGCTATCCTTCACTCTCCCCCCACCCCTTCTGTGCCAGCAGGAATTCCATCCCAGTCTGTGGGACGCTCTGCCTTGCCCAGATTCTTTTTTTTTTTTTTAATTTGTTTTAAAATCATTCTTTTTGTTTGTTTGTTTTTGTTATTATTTTTTCTTCTTCCCTTCCCAGGTTCTAGTTTTCAGCTTTTTCTCTCATCCCTTTTTCTGGTTCCCATTTTTTTTCTTTCCTGTGGTTCTCCTCATTCACACAAACATTAAGTACCACAACTTGTTTGTCTTTTTTGCATATTTCCCATTTTTTTCTTCATTGCTCTCCTTGCCTACATCTTTTCTCTTATTCCCCTCTCCCCAGATACTGTGTTTTTGTTTTTTCTCCTTTTTCTATTCATATTTCTTTTGTGTTTAAGTATTTCTTTAAATATT